GAAGGAATTCTCAGCACGTGCCAGTGGGCATCTGAGCAGCCCTGGCTGAAGAAGAGCAGCAAGGAGCAGGAAAATGTAAGCAGATAGTACTGCTGGAGGGGAGTGCTGTATTTTCCAGCAAGTCATTTTTCCCCTGCAGAAGTCCAGGAACAGCTTAACATGAACTGCTATATCGTAACTCACTCCAGGAAAGAGGGGGGAAGGTGTTCCTATGGCAGTAAGCCATCCCTGCCCCAGGGACATCCCAAGGCAGCTCCCTGCTTCAGGAACAGACCAAAGAGAAAGCATCGGGGGCAAACAGCAGCTTTGTGCCTCAGGAGCTTCCCAGAGCCCCCTACCTCACGGGCTGTGAAAAGGCAGGGCTCTGGACACGGCACTGAAGCAGTTCACGCAGGAGCACTCGGAGCCGCCTGCTCTGTCAGCAGCTCCAGAAAGGCTCCCTGCAGTGCTCTGCATCCCAAACACATTCCTCGGAAGCTGCTTTTATCATTCCTGATAACGCGTTCCTGTGCTGCTGCAATGGCAAACACAGGGCAGGCAGACAAGCCAGGCTGAGCGGAGACAGCCCACGCTCCCAGCACCTGCCCAGCCCCGCAGGTCTGCTCCTGCACAGCTCCGTGCACAGCTCAGGTGCTGAGCGCTGCCCAAGCGCTGGTTCGGTGGAAGGTCATTTGAGCCAGGGAACTTTGCTAGGTCGTGGCTGGACTTGATGATCCTTAAGGTCTTTTCCAACCTGAGTGGCTCTATGATTCTGAGCACAGGGAAGTGCGAGGATACAAGCAGAGGAGAGGAGAACAGAGTCGTGTTTAAGCAGCACAACAATCCTGGGTGCACAGCAGCTCTTCACACACACCTGACCAGTGAACGATTTACACAAACCCTGCTTGGCTTCCAGGTTCCCCCATGGGCAGCTGAAGGAATGGCTTTCTGTGAGACTTGGGGCTCACACCCCCACATGGATCAGCTCTGTGCCCCCCCGTGGAACAGCGCACCCCCACGGAGGGGCTCTGTGAACACACACAGAGGGGTTCCATGCACATCCATTAAGGCAGCACTGGCTCATGCTCTGTGCAGAGTATCTCACTGCCAGCACCTCGGCGCCCAGCACAGAGCTCACGTCTGCCCACACAGCTCCAGCACTGCAAGTGCCAGCAGCCGAGGGGCACACAGGGCACGGAGCGCCTTCCTCTTCCTCCCTTCTGCAGAGGAGCTTCAGCCTTGCTCACACATAGAGAAAAAACAGTGTCTGGATCTAAGACACCGTGCCAACAGCCAGAAATCTCGCTCAAGGGGTTCTAGCCTTTGTCTACAGACTTCACATGAAATAGCACAGGGGGCTCTGCAGGAATCAGACAGGCACTCCAGGATTTCTTTAATCTCATTACAGTATTTCACATTCTTGACACACTGCTTTCTGTACTCAGAAGCACTGAATCCTCAAGCACTGTCCCTTATGGCAGCACATGGATCTGTTGAGAGCTCTGACGGCCCTGCACTTCTGGTGGCACAGAGCTCCACGCCAAGCAGTGCTGCTGGGCTGCTGCATGGCACCGATGGATGTGAGCAGCTGCTTTGTGGAGACAAACACCTGTCTGCTCTCTTCTGGTACAAATCACTTTGCAGGCACAGACACCTCTGTGCGTTCCTGCATAGCGCTGTCTTTCCAGGATGAAATGCTCACATTGCCTGGAAAAGCTGCTTAACTGGCAAGCAAATTCAGAAGCAATTTGCAAAACTATGCACTGTGCAGAAATGGATTTCAAAAGCATGTATGCAACATCTGCATGAGATCTCAAAGCTCTTCAGCTTCAAAAGCCAGCTCAGACCTTTGTAACGCTCGCAATTAATAAAAACAGCCTCAACTTGACGTTTATCAAACTCCACCTGATATGCAATCGCACAGGAAGATCAAAGACCAGGAGAGACGGATGCTTCTGCATAAACAACAACACACACAGAAGAAAGCTGCAAGCCCTGCCAAGACAACAACAAAAAGTAAGACGAGGCAGCATACCGAGCTGCAGAAAGAAAATGATGTGAATGATGTATTGCTAGGACAACAAGGCTGCCTCGCCGAGTGCTGCCTGACGCACAGCTTGTGTCAGGCACTGCCACTGCAAGGAAGAGATGTGCACGGTGCTGCAGAGCCGCCCTGCACACGTGGTTCTCTGCCTTTCACATCTGCGTGGTGAGCGCTGCACCTTGAACAGCAACACGGCACTCCCAGGGAGGAGAAACACCAGCAGTGCACCCGGAGCTCCTCGTCCTTCAGCCTGCCTGCAGCTCGGGGCAGCCCTGCAGCTCGGGGGGCCGTGGCTGCAGCAGTGCAGGGCATCCCAGTGCGTGCTGCAGTGTGAGGGCAGCGCGTGGGACTGAAACCGTCACTCGGCACTTCCAGCAGCTCTGAGCACTTCTGGCACGAATAGGGAAAGATACGGCCAACTCTGCAACAAAAATATCTCTTATTTTGTCTCAAAGTAACTTCTTTGCTATCTTTGAAGTCTAAGATCATCACAATTGCCCAATATTTTGCTTTGCTTTAGTCCTATTTCTTGCTTGGCACCACCTTCTGCTTTGCCATCTGTGTGTCCCGTGTACAGACAACTCCCTCTTTTTTCCGGTTGACAAAGAAGCACAGCAGCAGCAACACAGCAGTGGGACCAGCACAGGAACAGACAGTGGGACCCGAGGCTGTACGGTGCTCAGGAGGGTTTCACACACTGTATTTCAATGAGTAACATGTCAGTGATGGATGGGGGAAAATGCCGACACGCTCAGTTCTCCCGTACCCATGAAAGGCTGGGGCTCAATGCATTGCCCACCAGGCTCACATCACTGCCCCCAGCCCCTCGGTGTCACACCTCACCTGCCCTGCAGCAGGACAGGGACGTGAGCACCAGCTGTGGGGAGCTCTGTTACAGCTGTGCACCCAGCACCAGCACATCCCTGCTGGAGGCATTTAACCCAGCACGTTCAGTCCTGTTGTGAACAGTCCAAAAACCCTCAGTGGAGGTCACTGGAACAGCACTTTTCAGACACTGGAGGCCCAGCCACTGCTGCTACCACATTAAAGTTGGTGCCAGGCAGGATTGTCATGTTCAGATTCTGTCAGAACACACTTAAGATCTCCATGCAACTTCAGCTTGCCAGACACTTCTGCAAGGAGAGGACATGTGTGCACCAGGTACCGACAGCCCAAAGCAGCAGCCCGTAAATCAGGGTTCTGCAGATCCTCACGCAGACTCACACTCACTTGTTTTTCCTATGACTCGGCAAATGGAAAACAAAAGACAGCTCTGGGCAGTTCCAGGGCTTGGGTCTACATGCAGACTGCTGGCAGCAGCTCACACGTGCACAGCAGGCCCAGCGTGCCTTTCTCTCCATACACCTTGTGGATGCTGCCATGTTGTATGGAAACCATTGAGTGCCAGCCTGCACCACTGATTGAACACCTGGGGAAAGGACCGGTCAGCCCTGGGAGCGCAGGTGAAGGCAGTTCAGCTGTGTGATTGGGAGGGGTGACTGCACCTCTCTCAGACCCCATTTAAGGGCTGAGTGCCGCTAGGGAAGGGCTTCTGGTTGGAAATCCCTTCCTTGTGGAGTTTTCCTGTCAGCTGAGATCTTCAGAGACAGGTGAGCACTTTCCTTTTCTCTTTGTCACACCTTCCCGTTGCACTGGTCCTTTTGTCATTGCACCTCCTGTGTCACCACGTCGCTGTTAATCTGGTTGTTACACGTATGTAATGCACAGGTGCAGACCCAGGTCCCACAGCACCCCTCCTCACAAGTCTCCTCCCACCCTTCCCTCAGCTCCACCCTCACCACCACTTTCTTCTTTACGTTTCAGTGTCAGCTGTCAACTACAGACAGGAGAACCTGTTACCTTTCACTGTAAATATTAACTGTAAGACTGGTGACTGCTAACAACCCTTCCTACACAAAACCTAAACGGCTCAGAGCCTTCAGAGAGCAGACAGGTCTGACGAGAACAACCGGGTTTTGATTTGCTGTTGTTTCTTTGTTGTTTTTTCCTGATCTGAGCAGAGATCTTTGGTTTCCTCTGCAGGACACCAGCATCCCACCAAACTGTGACGCCGGTGTTTGGGCCACGCCAGCCTTTGTTACAGCTGTTTTCCAGATGGGCACACACAGGCTATGCCAGACACAGCCCCAGTAACGCAGAGCCCTGAGCTGCTCTAAACAAAAGGGTGGCTGCTAAACCTGCTAATACAAACTAAAACCAAGCAGACAAGGAACGCAGCACACACACACAAACACCCTGCACTGCAGGTTCTCCTCTCTCCCCTTGGCCTGATGCACGCACAGCACTAACAGCAGCGTCTTGGGCTCTATTTTAAGCTTCTATAGTAACAGATGAGATGCGAGGGACAGCACTGGGAAAGTACATGCATTGGTGCCAGAGGGAAAAGCGGGGACAAAAGGCAGTAGGTGTGGGGCTGGGACACAGTAGACCCCCTCTGGGGATCAGAGGGCCTCAGTGCTCCTGAATGAGCAGCTCCCTTAGAGCCGGCACTGAAGTCTATGCGTGCTCAGATACCGCTCTCATCGTTATTCAGAAAGAAACAAAATAATACATGCACAAAGAGAGGAACTGTGCGCTGAGCTCTCCCAGTTCTGCGACGCTCTGATGCCGTGACTGCAGAGGCTGGCCGTGCCGGTGGGGCCCCGTTCAGGAACCTGCGTGCTCCATCTATGAAGGACACGGAGCGCCTTCACCGAGCGCAGCTCCGCCGTCCTTAAGAGAGGCGGTGCGGGAGCTCAGCAGCCCTGCGCGGGCACCGGCACACAACAGGCACAGCTCTCCTAAAGGCACTGCGGGAAACACACGCTCCAGAAGCAGCGAGGTGCAATTATATTCCAGAAAAAGCATTCCTATTTAGAGAGCGTTGGAAATAGAGAAAAACCGGTCGTAGTTCTATTGTTCCCTATTGCATCCCGGTCGCAGCGCGGAGCCGCGGGGCAGCAGAGCCGGGACTCACTGCGGATGGCGGCGATCAGCGCGTTGCCGTCCTTGATCACGTCCTTGATGAACTTGTTGGTGCGCTCCAGCTCCTGCTCGTAGCATTTCAGCCG